GATATATATATATATAAAATATAATGAAACCTACACTAATAATATTTATGTAATCGGGCCACTAGATGGCGGTGCGGCCCCAAAAGGTATCCACAGACAACAAACGGGCAAACGGGATAAGATCGTAAGTTGTTGTTGCTAGGTTTATATAGAGGGGCCTACGGACAAACGACATTACAAAAAAATATTTTAAGTATACAGTTTTGTAATTTAAATTTTAATCATTTGTCAGAATGGCGTAATTAAATTGCGAGGCCTAATGACTGAGCGATTTTATAGGCGGTTTCTTCGCTAACCAATTTTGGCGTATTCTCATGAGTAGGTCATGTTTATCACAGGCACTTAATTGGAGCGTTTCAATAAAATATAAATGCTAAATAAATACGAAATCTATTTACTACCTAAGTCTTAATGTTTCTATACTTTCTTTCACCTATTATTGCCGACAATTTCCTTCAAATGCCATCCAAATGCTCATATGTAGACTGTAACAAATGCTGGCTGCCGCTGTGTCACTGACGCTGAGAGGGTCTATGTCCCCCGGGGTACTGCCGGAACGTACCCTGGATACGGTCCGGTATACCGGAACGTACCCTGGTACTATCTAATATATGCCGGACCGTACCTCGTCTATCCACTAACGAGTCTAGGGAGTCGCCTACGCCTACACCCTAACCCTAACCCGAACCCTAACCCTAACCTTAACCCTAACCCTAATCCTAACCCTAACCATATCAAATAGTGACCATGGTACGTTCCGGTATACCGGACCGTACCCAGGGTACGTTCCGGCAGTACCCTGGGGGACATAGACCCTATGAGTCACTGACACATAAATATATATATATATTTATGTGTCAGTGAAAGAGAGTATAGGAGCATTAAGACTTTGGTAGTAAATAGATTTCGTATTTATTTAGCATTATATTTTATTGAAACGCTCCAAGTGCCTGTGATGTTTATCATGATTCTACTACTAGTATCATCTGTGATACATGTATGATGTACTGATGTAGGCCCTACACGCATAGCTGGAGTAGTAGAAAGACTTACAGAGTAGATTAATGTAATATAGTCATATTATATCATTTCATGAACAACATCAATTTAAAACATGACCAATATATTCTACTATTCTGTGTTAAGGTTATAATACACAAATACATTGTTGTGTTGGCTCCAGAACTGTTTTAATTAAATTGGATACCATTCTGCACAGACTAAGCTACGAGATGGATATCCAAAAACTATCATGATAGTTCCGAGGTTGTTTTGGCTTAACTTGGTTCGCCTCCTCTTCGTGTCCGTTTTTTCTATCCAAAACCTTTTATTAAAAATTCATCATGATCAGGTGAAGATTGGCATTCATTCTTCAGCATATTCCGAAGAGTATTCGTAGCACTCGATCATTCGAGTGCAATCATTGTTTCCACACGTACCATCTTCAAAGGATCCCATTAACTTCAACTTCTTAATTCGTTTTTCCCATCCCATATTGGAATTCTCTTCATTCCTCTTCGGTTAATTGCAAAATTGAAGCTTTTTCTACTGCAATCCGCAACTTGATCTGTGTATTGGATCAACTTTCAAGGTCATTACCATCACTGACACTGGTAATGATTGATACATTCTAGTAATTGCAGACTGATACTAGTAACAATATACTAGTAATAGTAGTATAGCACGAATCAACTGAATTTTTAACTTAAACTATAATGTTTTTCGTAGTGGGTGACCTCGCCTGCATTTTCACCATATGCAGGCCTAGTTTTGAAGCTGTTAGTTGGTTGGTGAGATCGAGATGGAAGTTTGCAGCCAAGTCTCGTCACCCAGGCTTGGTGATAATTAAGTGAATTAGGTAATAATAATTAAAGTGTTGCACTATCAGTCCAGTTTGATTGTGATTTAGTCAAAATAATTGAGGAAACAACAAATAGTTGTCAGTAAACCTACAAAGTAATATTTTGTGTTTGCATTTATATGACATTACTCTGATAATATATAATTGTTATGTAAACTACAATATTTCACGCAACTAAATTATTTAGTAAACAACAAATCAACATTACTCTGACTTCATTTCATAGGACTACAAATATCAATACTGCACCAAGTTTAATATAACTTTATTAACCACACAGTCTACCCAGAACAACCCAATAACTACGGTTACAAAATAAATCTATTGTGTTCTAGCCTTACTGTTTAATCACTAATCAGTGTAGGAGGTGAAAGAATCGAACCTAGCCATGTCTCGTTCGGCGATGTCAAAGAGTCGTAGCGAGAAGAGGGGCGCTAACGCAGCAACAAACATTCTGACGTCTGTCCACAAGGCTGATTCTGCCAGATTCACGGTAGCACAATGGTACGTATATATACATACACGTGCAAATAGGGAGGTATTACCTGATAAATACATTCTGTTGAGTCAGTATTGTGTGGTACCCCTTTTCCTGGCATCTATGTCTTTCCTATTATTATGTAGCATTTTCTTGAGGCGAATGTTAAAACTACAAAAATTTGTGTTCATTATTGTTATTATTATTATTATTATTATTAGTGTTCGTTATGATTCGGCTTTGGGAATTATGCTAAGAATCTGTTGATTTGAAAAAAAAACGTGTTATAGTAACACAACCCAAATATGTGTAGTGAAAAGATGACCATCATCTGACATCATTGAGTGATGATGTCATTTCTCTATGACATCATTAAATACCGAATGTATATATAAGCATGGAGTGAGGCATGAATAGGTAGTGTATATGGAATATATGTTGTTTGCAAGAAAAATTGATGTTAATTACATAAAACCATAGATAGACATGGCATTTTCTGATTAAGGTTATTATTCCACAGGCAAAGTTTAACTGAGAGAGAAGAAGATACAGAGTGGGTGTGTAGCATAGTAGATAAGCTGTGCTCCATGGCCTGGGACAAAATCTATGATGACTACATTAAGTGTCAACTAATACCATTTACTGTGCTGCAAGCCAGGGAAGCCATATTAGATGTTGTAAAGGTATTTCTTTATATAAAAATTACCATAAGTTTTTATGTTAGGCAGCGTTATGTAGTTTTTATAAAATTACGAACCCAGTGAATATATGAAGTCATAGAAGTAGTACCAACAAGGTATACAGCTCTTTCTTGATTTTTTGTTGACCCTAAACTAACACTGAACCACATTTATTATTCAACTGGATGAAGGGTTGTTCATTTATGTCTGTGTTCTGTTTGCTACAGACAATTCTGTAGAAGCAGTTATTACACTTTTTATTATAGTGGCAATTTTTGGAACATGACGAGGGAGAGGAAATGTTAGAGTGTGATACATCATGGCAAGAGGATGAAGGTACTTGTCAAATTCTCATGTTTCACGTTGTCATTATACACAGATCAAAGGTAGGTTATAAGTACTATTTATCCCATAAATGAATATGAAATCACAGTCTGAGACAATAAAGACAGTGTTATTATTTCATTTCTTTTACTCTGGAAATTGTGTTATACTTATAGTTTATTGATTTGCATGTATCACATATAGCAAGCTTTGTTTTTGAGCAGCATAAATAAAACATACATTATTATTAAATGTACTGCATATGATTGAAATATTGAAATAATTTCCAACACTTAATACACCACCAACACATACGCAACCACTTCCAAAAATACACAGTTAAAGGTTTTTGTTTCCCGATTACAGAACCACAACCTGCAACTATCGATGCCTGGGCACAGGGAGCCGTTCCTATAAAGATAGTCTCTAAAAGACAACTCGCATCAAGTGCATCACAACCAGTTCCAGAAAAGTACTTTCTTCCACTGTGACCGTTCGCCACTTTATCTGTTCAGTGAATAAGTATTCTCATATTCGGTGATAGTAATAATGCAAAATTGAATGTTCAACTGAATTAACAGTAACCAGGAAAGATACAGTTCCTCCTAGAAGGCTGTGGTCCATGTCAACTGTTTCAGTATACATGAACAAAATTGTATTAAGTTTCCTCAGAAGCGGCTTCTCTACTAATGGTATCATTATATATTGGACTCCATCAATTCTATCAATGTTCAATTATGATTATCCATTTGATAAGAACAGATACGGATGACGTTGTCCATATTTCCTAATGCCCTCATTATTCCTTATGAATAACTAGTTCGTATCGATGATTTTAGAGCGACTCAAACTCAACACAAAACGAGCAACACCACTTCCGAATTTGACGGAACAACTCGCACAGGAAAGAGTACAACTTCGACGTGTAAACCATCGGCTGCATCCCAGGCATCCGGCCAGAGTGAACGAAAGCCGAAAGAGATAGCAGGAGAGGTCAATAGGGGTCGTTGCGAGCCGCCGAGAGATGGAAAGCTGCTGGAGGTACGGGAAGTAATGCTTCGATTTGTAGAATGTAGACTTTAGGTGACTCCGTGCGCACGGAGCTCAGCGCACACGCTAACCGGCCGATCAACATTCCGGTTTACGAATAATCACAAGAAATCATGCATAACTGTCTCGTCCACTTGGCAGCTAATCGTGACTTGTTGCAGTCGGTGAAATTTATCAAATATGCTTGCTTAGCAACAAGCCGAAATATTGGCATGCACGCGTGAAAAACATGTACAACTCGGGTTAGCATGACCTATATAGCAATATTATCGAAACAGGATTATTCATTATCTCACTCGGACAGATATGTCAATTTAATTTTTCATTACCCTTGGGAGGGGAAGCCCACTGTAGACGATGACTGTGTTTGCCATGGCAACAGTAAAAACGTGGAAAACAACGGCACTGTCTGTCACAGGTAGGAACAGGATCCCGTAAGAAGAAGCAGACAAAACCGGGAAAGAGTAAGAAACGGGAAGCGTGTGCAGAGCGGGTCTCTAATGACTCACTAGAGGATGGATGTCGAAAGGCGGTGATGCCTCACGTGTGCAAGAGCGACACTCAGGTGAGTCTCATGTTTGCAGCTCGTTGCCGAATTAAAAATATTCACAATTGTGTACAGTCAAATCATTGTTAGTAGACACCTTGTAAGACAGACACCTGTATACAAATGACACTTGTGTTTCCCTTGAGTAGCAGTTATGTTATACAGGTGAAATCACCTTAATAGACAAACACCTCTCTATAAATGACACGTTTGGTATTTCTGAACAGTAAAACATTGCGTAATGCTCGCAAAGCTGCTGCCAAAGAACTGAAGTTTTCTTCTTGGTAATTTGAGCCTTTTGTATACCTTGTCATTTTTAATCATGTCTATTCCATTCCCCCCAACAGCTCTGCATGGAGTGTGGATCGAAAGTTGAAGCTTCCTCCAGTAGAAATAAGCCGCTGCAGTTTACACGATTAAATCCGGAGAGATTTCCAACTAACAGGTACCTCTATGCTAACGAGAAATATAAACACACGTGGAAAAATTCACTGATGTGTTGCTAATATACACAAACGTTCACGCGATTTTCACTCATGCATGCACGCATACCCCTTGCTGTTCAAGAGTGAAGACGTCCTTTGACATCGCGGACCACGCCGTGGCGGCCCACGCGAGGGGGAGGGTTCTGAAGCCGCTGCCGAGAGCCGACGTGAACCCTCACCGCACGAAGCTCGTCAAGCTGCCGCCGCCGCCCGCGAAGATGGCACGCCGCCTCGTCACTGCCGCCGCTCCCTTCCGGCAGCCACGCGACGAGCTGGTGACGCCGCTGCCACCGCCGCTGCTCGAGTCGATGGAGTTAGCGGCCGGCGTGTCCGTGAAGGAAGGGATGAGGATGAAGGCAGGGCCGCAGGTGATCTCTCGGTTTGCGTTAGGGTCGTTGCACGCACCCCTGATGGGCGGAGCTTGCACGACGGATCCAGGGGCGTAGAGAACTCATTTTGCCTGGGGAAAGGGGCACAAAGCTACTCTTTTTCGGGGGTTGGTGGGCAGCTGACCATAGGCAGTTTGCCATTGTGCGTGTATATACATTTGTCCAGGAGGGGCAACAGCCTCTCCTTCTCACCTGCCAGCAATGGCCCTGGGATCTCATGTTAAAAGAGACTGTTAAAAGGACTGTTAAATTGTAAAAGACCCATAGCTTTTATCTAGACGTTCGCGCCTTATATAGTGAGTGAAATGATACTCGTCCGCAAAGCGGACTACTTACACCGAGACGGCAATCACTGCTCCATACAAATTCTCCTATTTATGTCGATCGTTCGAAAAGTGGTAAAAAATGCTTTTTTCTCATACACCCGAAAACCATTCAACCTGTAAATTTCTTAGTAGTTGTACAAAACATAGTTAATTTGATATATGTAACTTTTCATTACCCTTGGGAGGGGAAGCCCACTGTAGACGATAACTGTGTTTGCCATGGCAACAGTAAAAACGTGCAAACAACGGCACTGTCTGTCACAGGTAGGAACAGGATCTCGTAAGAAGAAGCAGACAAAACCGGGGAAGAGTAAGAAACGGGAAGCGTGTGCAGAGCGGGTCTCTAATGACTCACTAGAGGATGGATGTCGAAAGGCGGTGATGCCTCACGTGTGCAAGAGCGACACTCAGGTGAGTCTCATGTTTGCAGCTCGTTGCCGAATTAAAAATATTCACAATTGTGTACAGTCAAATCATCGTTAGTAGACACCTTGTAAGACAGACACCTGTATACAGATGACACTTGTGTTTCCCTTGAGTAGCAGTTATGTTATACAGGTGAAATCACCTTAATAGACAAACACCTCTCTATAAATGACACGTTTGGTATTTCTGAACAGTAAAACATTGCGTAATGCTCGCAAAGCTGCTGCCAAAGAACTGAAATTTTCTTCTTGGTAATTTGAGCCTTTTGTATACCTTGTCATTTTTAATCATGTCTATTCCATTCCCCCCAACAGCTCTGCATGGAGTGTGGATCGAAAGTTGAAGCTTCCTCCAGTAGAAATAAGCCGCTGCAGTTTACACGATTAAATCCGGAGAGATTTCCAACTAACAGGTACCTCTATGCTAACGAGAAATATAAACACACGTGGAAAAATTCACTGATGTGTTGCTAATATACACAAACGTTCACGCGATTTTCACTCATGCATGCACGCATACCCCTTGCTGTTCAAGAGTGAAGACGTCCTTTGACATCGCGGACCACGCCGTGGCGGCCCACGCGAGGGGGAGGGTTCTGAAGCCGCTGCCGAGAGCCGACGTGAACCCTCACCGCACGAAGCTCGTCAAGCTGCCGCCGCCGCCCGCGAAGATGGCACGCCGCCTCGTCACTGCCGCCGCTCCCTTCCGGCAGCCACGCGACGAGCTGGTGACGCCGCTGCCACCGCCGCTGCTCGAGTCGATGGAGTTAGCGGCCGGCGTGTCCGTGAAGGAAGGGATGAGGATGAAGGCAGGGCCGCAGGTGATCTCTCGGTTTGCGTTAGGGTCGTTGCACGCACCCCTGATGGGCGGAGCTTGCACGACGGATCCAGGGGCGTAGAGAACTCATTTTGCCTGGGGAAAGGGGCACAAAGCTACTCTTTTTCGGGGGTTGGTGGGCAGCTGACCATAGGCAGTTTGCCATTGTGCGTGTATATACATTTGTCCAGGAGGGGCAACAGCCTCTCCTTCTCACCTGCCAGCAATGGCCCTGGGATCTCATGTTAAAAGAGACTGTTAAAAGGACTGTTAAATTGTAAAAGACCCATAGCTTTTATCTAGACGTTCGCGCCTTATATAGTGAGTGAAATGATACTCGTCCGCAAAGCGGACTACTTACACCGAGACGGCAATCACTGCTCCATACAAATTCTCCTATTTATGTCGATCGTTCGAAAAGTGGTAAAAAATGCTTTTTTCTCATACACCCGAAAACCATTCAACCTGTAAATTTCTTAGTAGTTGTACAAAACATAGTTAATTTGATATATGTAACTGTTTTTCATCACTAAAGGAGGCCTTTAAGTTTGGTAATCGAACAGTTCGAAGCAAACTTTAGTGTTTATCCGATATGGTATGTAAATAGAAGATCACAAGCTGTACTTCGTTAAATTTCGTGCACTTATTGTGAAAATTAAAATACAAATATAACTATTTCATCTATCTTGAGTGAGCGGAAGAATCCATGTCAAATGTAAAAATAGGCCTAGAATGTTTCCAAGCCTCGCTTGAGATGCAGCGAACTGCAGCGTACCAGTCTACCGTCTACCCCTATACCGTCTACCCCTATACCGTCTACAGTCTACCGTCTACCCCTATACCGTCTACAGTCTACCGTGCTACAGGTTGTGCTGCGCAATGCGTAGTGGGAAGACAATATGTCAGCTAGCATGTCACCGAATTTACCGCTGTTCATTCGATATACATTTCAACACACGTAGCCTTATTTACTCCGAAATACACATCGTTAACAGGTACAAATACTTAGTGGACTCTACTAGTACTGTTCATCAAGGCGCAGCGGACTGGGAAATAAGGGACAGCTGCGTGAAATAGACTATATACACTGCGGCGGTTCGTACATGCCACCCTGAGGAGGAACACTTTCTGTCACCTAGTCTTTTCTTTCGATCTGTGCCCTGGCTTTCATTATGGCGCACGGATCCACCATGTTATCTTTTCTTTTCCCTCTGCCGCGCGCACTTCTCTTCTATGCACAGCCAGTGCTCCATATTTGGCCATCTTCCAATATCATTTCAGTTACACTTGCATCACTTCCACTGGTTCCACCCCGGGCGCTTTCCGTTTTGGCCAGAACCCTGCCCACCAATGATTGACAGGGCCTGGGAGGGACGTTTCAACTACCAGCTTATATTGCCATATTTAGCAGCGAGAGGAACCGATTTGTCCATGCGCATTATTCTAGTTCTTAAATGTTTATCTAAATTGATACAACGTTTCCTTTGCAACTTCCACCCGCAGGTGGCGCTGTGCTCCCATCCTTCGATAGCGGAGAACCACCTGAGGCCGCTGTGTTCACGCGTGGCGCCTGTGCTGGAGATACAAGAACTGCTGCGGAGACAGCACACAGTCACCCATGTGCCGTGCATCCCTCCGATTACCGCCAGCAAGACATGAATTAATCGAGCCGGCAGTGGGGACGAGCCACGTGCAGATGTCCGTGCTCCGTTACAACGATTCTTACTCTGGCATTTCATTTCGTAAATTTTTTTTGTAGTCGACTCGTATTAGATTGCTTCGTAGCGTTCTCTCACTGTATAGTTTATTATGGCAAATGAAATAAAACTGCTTGAAATGAATACGCATCTGTTTAGCCCATTACGAACTGTGTGTCATAATTTCTATATAGTTCAATATCGTGTATCATATACACAATATTCATAGACAATTAAATTTCATATATATACAATTTATTACGCACAATAATCCGGTTAACTTTTTGATAAATTCCGTATATATGTGTTATTATGTGTTGCTCCATGCCATATATAGCTATTAATAGTATTATGTTTTTAAACAAACAAGTATCTGTCAGTATAGATATATTCATGATATCAAGAGCGTATTAAAAGCGTATTAATACGCTCTTTATGATATAAATGTGCCGTATTTATCCTGAGAAATAAAAACGTATAACATACGTTTTATATTACAACACCAATGACAAAATATATTATAACAAAATAGCTATTATGTAGATAGCTATTTTACTTTTATTAGTTTTACTGTACCGTACAGTCCATGGAATTAGGTAGCTCCAAGAAACGGTCTTTGCTAGGGTTAGAAGACCTGTGTATAGTGTGTACGTTAGTCACACATAGTCACACATAGAGACGTTAGTCACACAGCTTGGTCGGGCTAGCAATTATAGGCAGAACTAGTGCCCAGAAAGTTCTCTAACTTCATGTGTATGCAGTATAACACACTATATATTTACATTATAACGTACCACAAATATATACTCCTCTAACGTTTATAACAACACATATGCTCTAACGCATCATGACATATGTCATAACAACATAAATGTAAGAAACGCTCTCGGTGACGGTGTTTATTTATCAACAACTGCCTACGATGCATTATGAACCGCTTCTACTGATTGGCCGTGTGTAGTAATTTCTAGAGACAGCGAATCCGATTCGCTATTAGTAATAATTACGTCACGCCGATTTTGTAATGGCGGTCCCGCGTATGTTTGAGTTTATTATAATAGTTTCTGTCGTCATAACTCGTCACCGCCCAGGTATCAATGTTTTATATCATGTAACGTTGATTTATGCGTGTAAACGGAGTAGTGAAGACCTATGACTAATCGTTTTTGTTATATTAATTATTATTGGCATGTTTGCTTGCTGCAAAACAGTCTCACTCTCAGCTAGTGTTGTCACTGTTGACAATGAATGAGTGAATGACATGCAGTGTTCGGAAACTGATTATGCTCTGTTCCACTAACTTAGCAATTAACGTGCTGTATCACGAATAACGCAAAGAAACTATGTTTACACTGCCTGTATTACAATATACTAGGAAAATTTTAAACGTATGTTGTATTCTTTACAGTGTATTGCATATACAATGATCTGCCCAAACCTCGTTTATGTGGATGCACTGAAGTTGAAAACGTTTGTGAAGATGGAGTGTGTGAAACTTATCAACAGGTAAAACTGTATATATTTATATAGTTATTAAAGAATATAATATGTTGAAACAAGTTTGTTTAACCAATTCCCTATACTGCACATAGACCAATAATTTGTGCCCTAAAATTTTGTATATACATAGGTTTCACTGACGTCACACATCCGGGTATTCGCCCCCGCGCCGCCATGTTCGGGGGCAAGCACAGTAGATCGCAAGCATTGTTT